AAAGTTGCTGGCCCAATGCCCTCAACTCAAGGCATTACTGCACCCGATGGCCAAATTTGGCCCCTGCTGCACAGGACTCCCTAAGGAGGTGCTACAGGGAGCCAAAAAACCAAATCTCATTACCCAGTCCATGTGGCCGAATGGTACACACATGTAAATGGTACAAACATGTAACTTTGATGGACACATTATGAGTTCAATTCTGATGGCATCAGATGAAGACAGTGTGTTAAAGGCTACTCCCTCGGAAAACGAGGGGGAGCGGTGGGGGATTATCAGCACTTCTGTTTTTTTGGGGTCAAACACCGTCTCCTAACAGAGCCTTTAGGTGATAGGACCATGATACCCCGAGGCCCACCGAAATAGATGGTTTTTCCTTTGATAAAACACCAGTGGATCCTGCAGCATGGGCGGCAGAGACCACGAGGGGACAAAACAAAAAAACACATCGCCAACATCAGGGACAGTTTGTTCCTTGTCAGGGTGAGGCAGCAGGAAAGTGGCCAGGTTGATATGAACTGCTGCAATGCCGACCTGAGTTCGAACTCGGGTTCGCTCAACTGTCAAGTACAGACCCAATTTCAAACTCGGAGTCGCTATGTACTTGTTGTATTCGAACATCCCGATGCACCAAGGAAAAAGAATATGGCGGTGTATCTTTCCACGTTCCAGGTGACAATTTATTCTCATTTCCTTTTTCACTGAGCCGTTTTGTACTTCTGCTGAGCGGTGGGGCAAGCCCGCCAAGCTCCCTATGTACTTGTATTCAAACATGTGAGCTCCTCCCGGGCGCGCCAACTCAGACATCGGAAACGACGCACGCGAGGCCCAAAAAAAAGAGTTGCGACATCTGAGATGATACACGCAAGGCCCAAAAACAAAATCACGGACATCCGAAAGGACGGGAGGGAAAAGAATACGGTGGTGTATCTTTCCACGTTCCAACTGACAATTCATTCTCATTTTCTTCGTTCGCGGAGCCTGTCGAGCTAGTTCAACGGAGGAAGTGGGAAATGGTACCCAAGCTTATCCTGGAAGCATCAGCCAGTTTAGCTTACGAGCAATTTCTCGACTCTTCCGTGCAAACAGTTCTATTCTCGACTGTCTCAGCCCCGACCCCGAGTTCGGTGAATAGCTGTGAATTGGTTCCTTCTTGCCCAGGTGCGCAGGAACTATCTCAACTGTCGAATGCTACCCCTTCCTGACTTCATCTTCCTCCTCCAGTCCACCTTGATCGCCTGTTTGATTTCCTGTTTGATCCTTATTTTGATTTCCTGGTCCAGCATTGGTCTATTGCGGAATCTTGCTCTGTTTCTGTCCAATCAGATGACCTCGAAGAGTATCCCACACTGACCACGCACACCAACTTTCATGACGCAGGGCAAAAGAAAAGCTGAAAAAATAAAAAGCGGCTCTACGGCACCCCAACAGTCCGGCCTGCCCTTGGTTTCTTCTGGGCCCGGCAGGGGACTTTAGTCGGAGCCCCCTCTTTTACTTTAGCAGATTGGTCTATTGCAATCAGATGACCTGGAAGAGTATCCCACTGACCATGCACACCAACTTTCGTGACGCAGGGCAAAAGAAAAGCTGAAAAAATAAAAACCAGCCCTACGGCACCCCAACAGTCTGGCCTGCCCTTGGTTTCTTCTGGGCCCGGCAGGGGACTTTAGTCCGAGCCCCCTCTTTTACTTTAGCAGGTAATAGAGAAAAGGGTGACAGCCCAGATAAAAAGCAAAAAATAAGGATGGATGTTCAGAGTAGCAGACTGCAGAGAGCCAGTTGGTTCCTCCTATCAGCACTAAACAAATAACTTGTAATGTTCGTAGGGGAAGGGGTACTGCGGGAAGGTGCAGTAAGTCACTGACAGGCCCGAAATGCTCCGTCCTGACGCTACCGGCAGGGACCTCGGGGTTCCGCGTGCTCCGGGGCTCCCCGGAACACAATAATAGTACTAAGGCCAGCTGACACTACCGGCTTCTTCCTGATGCCACCGGCAGGGGTCCCGGTCGCCCACCTGCAGGTTGGTTGCAGTTATCGCTGCTCCGGGGTTCCCTGGAACACTATAATTATCATCATCACAACGCCAGAAGGCCATCCTGTCAGACTGGACAGAAGATTCAATTTGGTTGGGGTAATTAGCCTTCTACAGTTTAAAAAAAAAAAACAGAATCTGAAGGACCCACTGTACCAACCGAGTGAGGCCCGTTGGTTGAAGTGTGTTTGTGTACCTACAAGCAGTTGTGAATATTTTGGGCACCTCCTTGCCCCTATCACACACTTCAGGGCATAGGAACACTCGACATATCTGACCATTATTAGGGCCAAATTAGGTCGAAAATGAGGGCCAAATTGGGTCAAAAACGTTACTGTGTGAACATGCCGCAGATCTGTTCCCCACTTCCTTTGGCCTTCACAGATTATTACCAGGCTGCTACAGTTTTTATTTTCCTAGGTGACATTTTAGTTCTTCTTATATCAGATACAGGATTCCAGAGGTGGTAGAAGCCTGGGCCGACGTCAAACCAAGTTGGGGTGTTTTGTGCTCTTGGTTTTCCGATGCCAGAACGACGCTGGCCGGTGCTCGGGCGTTGCCCTGTGACCTGCTGTAGCAGGAGCGGGAGGCCTGGTAGAGAGGTCTGGGGATTCGTCGAGGAAGGAAGGCGATCCAGTGGAAAACTGGAGAGGGCTGCCATGATGTCCTAAGGGGGTGGTATTGTCTTGGTGTGAAAACACGACAGCGGAGGCTGGTATTGGATAGGATGACATTATCTTTGGAGAGCTGTGTAGGGTATAGTGAAGGCTAGGAGTTGCTTAGGGGTTAAGAGGTCAGGTTTGCTTAGGTGGTTCAGTGAATTCATCATTATCACCACCATCTTCATCATCAGCATCAGCATCAGCATCAGCATCATCACCATCATCATCTTGAGGGACGCTGGTCCCGGTTCCCAGCAAGTGCTGATCTACCATCTTAACAGTGTATCTCAGGGGATGCTGGACCCACTTTCCAGCAGGTGTCGCTCCCCACCAATAGATTGGAGCCCCCTGCAAGATAGGTAGGAGTGTGTGCTTTCATCACCACTCCTATCTGTTGTTGCGGGTGTTTAAATTTAAAAAAAAAAGAAAAAAAAAGGCCCAGCCCCCCCACTGGTGCTATGTTATATGCCATCAAAGTACAAACCTGGTGGCTATTGCTACCACTAAGCACGAAGATGCAACCAGTGGGGCCTACCACTAAAGGCGGTGCTTTCAACAGTTCATGGAGCTACGCACTTCGAATTAAAAAAAAAAAAAAGACAAGGGTTGCCAGAATGCACGTCAGCTCACCCCATTCCACGTCAGTGGTGTCATTCTTCTGAACCAATCAAGCGGTTCTCCTGGACATGTAAAGTCGTTCTCCTATACCTCGACCGAATCTGGCCTCATCTACATCCGCGACAGTCCTACGGTGAGGCGGCAAAAGTTATATGAGTGTCATCTGTGTCATCCTTTAGCACGGAGCATGCTCTTTATGACTCTTGTACAATGAATTCCTCACTTCTTTCTCGGCCTTTTGGCTTAGATCAAGTGTGGTATCCGTTGACTATGCTCTCATCAGTTTCATATCTGATCCATGGTCCATCGGAAAAGAAAGAAAAAAACAAAAAAAGAAACAAAGAAGAAAACAAATACTTCTCTGTATCGCTCCAACGATAACGAATTTCCCAAAAGGACGCTTAGGGCGAATGAAAGAAAAGGCGTACCGAAGTACACCTTTGAACTGTCGAAATACAGACCAGAGTTCGAAACCCAAAGAGCCTAGGTGAATGGAATAAAAATAGCCGTGAATTGTCTGGGGGCACATCTGCTGGATGATGATATCTCAAGGTCGTCGCCCTTTTGAAAAAGGGAAATGAAAGAAAAATCTGAAAAAGTGCAGGGTAGGGTCTGCGGCCTGACTCAGTGGGTAAAACACAAAAGTGGCATTTCGTAGGTCTTGGGTTCAATTCCCATTCCTCGTAGTGCCTACCTGGGCATACTTGGTGCCCTCCATCTAGAGGTCGCCTTTTGGCTCCCTCGAACCAGCCCTCCCGTTGTCCCATTCCGGAGGACCAGATACTTTTTTTTTTTTTTTTTTTTTTTTTTTTTTTTTAAACAACGGCTCCATCTATTGGTGGGGAGCATCACCTGCTGGAAATCGGGTCCAGCGTCCCTTTACAATGATATGAAAACATAGCAATCATGAAGATAGGCCACGTGGCCATCCCAACAGAAACAATCCGTGAATATATCTATCATCTGTGCAGCCATTGAGTGCTCCCCCATACCAGAGGAGGAATAACCTGCTGCGTTGTTAACCCTAATATGTCGCAAGTCAAATCTCAATTCATTTTTAGTGTAGGGGGCAACAGCCCACAGTCTTGTGCCATCCTTAACCATCAGCCACAAACCTATCTATCTCATCTCTGCAATGCATGGCAATCACATGATATGAAAACATACCAATCATGAAGATAGGCCATGTGGCCATCCCAACAGACAGTTCATGAATATATCTATCATCTGTGCAGAGGCATTGATTGCTCCCCCTCACCAGAGGAGGATTAACCTGCTGCATTGTTATCCCTAATATATCGCAAGTCACATCTCAATTCATTTTTAGTGTAGGGGGCAGCCGCCCACAGTCTTGTGTTGTCCTTAACCATCAGCCACAAACCTATCTATCTAGCCTCTGTAATGCATGGCGATCGCGCATGGCAATCGCACTCAGGAACCACAGGCCAGCTTTCCGATAAACCGTTACTCAACAGCTAGCCCACCTCCCATTAACCGTTACTCAACAGCTAGCCCACCCCCATCCGAAGGCCAACAGAAGACTGGATATGCAGAAGAACACCCCCTACACATAGGGGGGGAACTGAAAAAGTATCGTCGTTGTTGTCATTATTGCCTCACATGTCATCATCGTTGTTGTCGTTGTCGGTGTTATTGTTGTCATCATCACCTCATCTGCCACTGGCAACCCCAATGGCGTAAGTATTGTCGTTATTGTTGTTATTGTCGCGTGTTTCACATGTGTCGTCGTTGTTGTGGTTGTTATCGAAGTCATTGTTATCGCCATCGCCGGCACTGCCCCTGTCGTCACCGTTACTGATGTAGCTCGTATTCTTGGTATCGCGTGTGCCGGCGTTGTTGTCGTTATTGTTGCTGTTGTTGTTGTCGACGTCACCGCCGCCGATGTATGTATAGTCGACAAAACGGTTGCCGGTGTCGTTGTTGCAGCCGACAGTGTCGTTGTTGCAGCCGATGTCATCATAAGTGCCTGCGCCATGATCGCATGGCACAGATCCTGCCCCTCCCGAAAGATAGCATAACACCGCTGCATGAGGGTTTTTGCTTGCCGCCAATCGAGGAGGTCTTCCAGCCGGGGATCCGGCCCTTCCTCCAATTCCCAAATGACCTCCAACATGTCCTGCATGGAGTTTTCCGTCCAGGTCAGCAACGCCGTCGCCCCCCCTTCGACCGCGTGCCCCGCTCTTCCCTTCGCTGACATAGCCTCCACAATCCCTCGCAATCGCACACCGCCCTCCTGAATGGTGAATAACCAGTCGTCCGCATCGTGTTGTAGTTGTGCCACAGAAGCCATCGCCTCCACTTGTAAGAAACGCGCCGCCAGATATCTAATTACGCACTCAACACCCACGTGCCGTCTTCTAATCTGCCAGGTGAAACATTCACCGTCATCCGCTCAAACCGACCAAACGGGCATTTAGGATGACCAAGAGCAGCGATAGTCACCGCTGCCCTAGTCTCCAGAGTGCAGCCGGGCATCGCCGGCTGGTCTGTAGCGCAGGTTAGCGCTTGGTGCGTTCAGGCGCGAAATTCCGGTCTTTTCAAGGCATTCTCACGCAGCTGTCCACAATGCATCTGACTGTACCTTTTTTTTTTTTTTTTTTTATTACTGCAGATGTTTGTAAGGGGAGGGGAAGGGGGAAGGGAAGGGAGGTGCAGCATCTGGCCAACGCTCTCTCCTGACTTTACAGGGTGAGCCTTGGCCTGTATCGCCCACCTACAAGTTGGGTGTAGTCTCGCATGCTCTGTCGTGGCCATGGATATGACTGCCACAGGGCCAGAAAAGTCATCCTGTCAGACTAGACAGAAGATTAGGTATATTATTTTCTCAATTTCACCTTTCACTACCTACCTACCACTACTCTTAAGCCTGTACAGGGTTGGGCTACTCGGCTTTTACTAGCTCAAAAAAAAAGGTGCTACAGTGCTGCAAAAAGAAAAGAAAAAGAAAAGATATTCTCGTCCCTTTCCTGAGAGCTCCAACTCCTCATAGGGAGCAGCACGTGGTGGAAAATGGGCCCAGCGTTCCAATTTCTCCCAAATAATTGGATTCTGCATGTCATCCTTGAAGGTGCAGGGGCCATGCTAATCTTGTCTTGTCTGTGTAGCTTTCAAATGCTAACGAATGTCCCAGTCCCAGGGCGAGGTCCCACTACGAAAGAAGATTGGATTCAACACCTTAATCTCCACGTGCTTATGGAAAGGTGCAGAAAACGGCGATTGATCTGCATTTCTGCATTTCCGCATTGGATTGAACGCCTGAATCTGTACGGGTTCGTGGAGAGGTGCAGGAAATTCCACTTGATCTGCTTTTCTGCATTCCCGCTCAAAACCCACCCAGATTCAGGTGCAATCCTCTTTGCTAGTGGGACCTTGCTCCTGGAGGACGAGAGTTGGATTTGAAATTGAACTCCTATTAACCTGTTGAGAAGTATCGGCCAATAATCACATCCGCTTGAAGTGTCATCTCCTCATCGGGGGACAGCTATATATACGTTCTCTCACCTCACATATTTTAACTGGCTTTCTGCCATGTCATGGATCATATATTTTTCCTTTGTTGGGGGGGGGGGGGAGGGAAGCAATCACATCCGCATGTTTAGCAGATATTCGGTCGCCTACAGCTCTCTCGAAATAATGCACCCGTGTTCTATTCGAGGGGAACGCAGCGCTATTTCCGAAACCAATCTGAGGGCGTGCTCTCACTAGCAGTATATACCTGATCGCGTTCACGGCCATACCTGGATGTATGTGGATGCAATTCCGTCCAGAAATACGTAAACAAGTCCTAGAGTGAGTATGCCCTGAAAAAAATAGTAACCAGTCTGAGGGTGTGCTCACACTAGCAGTATCTCAAGTGTGCCTGATCGCATTCACCGCCGTACCTCGATGTATGTGGATGCAATTCCGTCCAGAAATACGTAAACAAGTCCTAGGGTGAGTATGCCCTGAAATAAATAGTCGCCCCGAGGCTATCGTGATGGCCCTCATTACGATAGCAGCCAACTTGACTTCCCAGACGAAAACGAGCGACAGAAACATCTCTTTCCTGTCCAGATTGCATGACTCACACCAATCGCTCAAGCACTACCGCCCAGAGATCCACGAATCTCTCTCTCTCTCTCTCTCTCTCTCTCTCTCTCTCTCTCTCTCTCTCTCTCTTTCTTTTTTTAATTATTTCTTTTTGACAACGTTGGTTACTTACCAGACAGAAGGGAAGGATTAACTGCCAGTTGCCAAACAAGATAACAGACCTATCTTCGACCTCTCACAGTAGCGCGCCAGATCAAACCAGAGACCCTGACAGGACTTTCACCTCCTACCCTACCGTCTTCACCCCAATAGAACGCCTGGTCATAACAGCCGTATTTGGGTAACTTTGTCTAAGATACAGCGATAAAAACGACCGGGCGTTCTGTTCGGGTAAAGACAGTAGCTCCACACAACAGGTTCTGAAGGTCGCCCGGTCTCGCCTCTTGAAAATATGACCAAAAACGAAAACGAAACGAGTGCATCTGCCCACGAAAGGTGGCAAAATACACTCGGTACTATTTATAGCAAACGGATGAACCATGCCCATTTTCTGCCGGAAGATGCACTCGTTTCGTTTTTCGTTTCGTGTGCCGTGCGGCGACGCCCCAAGTCTCTCTGTTCAATTGCAACAGCCGGAATACACTTTTTATAATTTTTTGAATATACACTTTCACGGGGCTAGTGTTTCTCAATTTGCCTGCGCACGGCTCAAAATACCTTCATGGTGGTCGCGGTCAGGTGGCCTGCCCAGGCGCGCACTTTCATCGGCCTACCCTCCTCCCCCCGACCACAACGCAGCCTCATAACGACCGTATCAAACCGGGAAGATAGCTTGTATACATTCATCATCAGGGGCCGTTGTGTCCGGGTGAAGACGGTGTTTTTTTTGCCCTTCCGAACATAAATTGGCTATGTACTATGTAGTTCTGTCCTTCCGCGATTAGTTTATCCATTTTGTCGCCCCGCGTCTCGGATCTCATTCTGTCATCAACACGTCCGATCTCTTCTCCCATGAACACCTGATTATAGAATTAGGTTCAATTAGCCTTAAGGGACGGGGGGGAGCCTTAAGGAACAAAAAAAAAAAAAAAAAAAAAAAAAACGTTGTAGTTTGTCCATCGGGATACCGGGACGTTTCTTCGCCGAGCAAACAACGTTCCCGTCCGACCGCGCGTAACAACTGTCGCAGGAACAGAAATGTGATTTTTTTTTATTTTTTTTTTTAACTGCACATCTCGTCTCTAGCATTAAATAAAGAAAAACAATGTGCACGTTGCCTTTAGGAATCACAAAAAAAAAGGAAAACAAGCATCTCGTCTTCAAGATTAATATAAAAAAAAAAAACAAAAAAAAAACGCATCTCATCTTTGTCCGGAATGAAGACGATGGGTACTACTCCGATGCTCGGTCAACAAAGAAAAATACTTCGGATCATTAATGACCGGGGAATCGAACAACGAGAAATCCTTGGCCTTTCGGTGGAGCGATCCATGTATGGGGATCGAACAAAGAAAAATCCTTGGCCTTTTGCTAGAGAGATCTATCTTCAGAATTACTCAAAAACTCCTGCGAACATTCCCTAATCGGGATTCCCACTTTTCTGCAAGGAAGATGAGCATTAGCGAACTTTGGCAATCAAACAGCATCATACATATGAGCCCAGATAGTCTTGACCTCGAACCACAGCAGACTGGCA